AATCCGTCGCTAAAACCCTGGTCGCTATTTTAAATAGCGCGAAATTTTTTCCGTCGCAATTTAGCGACCTAAAATCAGTCGCTAGCCATTAAAAATCCGTCGCTAAAATTTTGGTCTCCTAACTTTTGGAGACCAATTTTGCGACCGAATTTTTTTGTTGCAATTTCCGTCGCTAATTTTTATTTATTTATTTAATAAACATTTTAAAAATCAGTGTCTAAATCGGTCGCTAAAAACCTGAAATAGCTACGAATAAATTCAATCGCTATTTCGGTCGCTAAAAATTGAAATAGCTACAAATAAATTCGGTCGCTATTTCGGTCGCTAAAAAATTGAAATAGCTACGAATTATTTTGGTCACTATTCCGGTCGCTAATAACTTGAAATAGCTACGAATAATTTCAGTAACTATTTCGGTCGCTAAAAATTTGAAATAGTTACGAATTTTTTCGGTCGCTATTTCGGTCGCTAAAAATTGAAAATTGCTACTAATCATTTCGATCGCTATTTCTAACCAGTATTTTTAAATTCTTTTAAAATTATAAATTTATACCTGTTAATGAATATGAAATTAACAATATATTTATTACACAATTTATAATAATAAACTAGAACATACTTAAAAGAAATAATTTGATCGATATAAATTTATATTATTATAGTGAAAAGTAAATAAAATATAACTATGTTAATAAGTTAATATGGTATGCTAAAAACACAATAACAACATAAAACGTTTAAAACTTCAACAAAGTAATAGTGAAATACAACAAAATATCCTGAAACAAATAAAATAAAGAAGCTTAATTAAGGGTCTTCTGCTAACTCATCAAGAGCATCATCAACACCATGCTCAGGATCATCTGGGGTAGTACTCGGTGCAGGAGGGGTTGGCCTTAAAGGGTCAATGTTGAGATGACGTAGTATATACTGCATCTGCTCATCATGTTGTTGTATATGCTCTTTCAATGCTTTTTCCTTGCATTAAATTGTATAACTGCCCAACCTTTTGCTATGGTATATCCTGCATACATTCATTGTTTGATCAAATTAGGTAATGTTGTCACGTACTTTGCGCTTTTCCGTTACTTTAATTAGAAGGTATGTGTGTGTGCTGGACTTGTATATACTTTGTACTATATTTTAAATTTAATTTTGAATCCTACCAAATAAATTCAGTTTTCTTTAGTAGTCCAATAATTGGTTCATAGTTGAATATCAAAGCTATCAAAAACGGGTTGTCTTTTTGTAATATGAATGATATTTGTGCAAATAAGCAATCACATATGGCATACCCTTAAAATTAATTTCCCTCAGTGCCTTCCGGAAGATTCCTGGAACTATATTTGCGAGTCTCACGGTTTCATTTATGACCTGCAAATCATCACGGACTTTTAAATGAGATATGTATACGTAGGAATTAACCCACAATGTTGTCTCTCTTTAGAAGAAAGAGAAATATATGAAGAAATTATTGATCCACCTGAAATGTAAATGTCATTGATTTGTATTCTTTCCACGTGACTCCGGAGTTAGGATCTTCACGTCGTTTGATGATGGCTTCATGTTCTTCCTAAAAGGCACAACACGGAGGGCCTTATTATTTAGTATAAATAGAGTCAAAACGAAAAGGCCATAAAAGTAGTTCAAAGACTTTAATATTAATTTTTGACATACTTGTAATTGCTTGAGCACTAAGGGATGGTCCGAGAGTAATTTAATAGCATAAGTAATAGCGAGAGAAGTGGTTTCAAAGCTTGCAAAGAGGAGCACAAACATGAGGTCCAGAGCGATCGCTTCAGTGAGGATTGTTCCCTCTTTCTTTAGTTCTTCAATAACATAGTCAAAGAAATCTGTTTGCTCTTTCTTATGCATTCCCTGTCTTTCTTGCAGCATGTTCTTCAGCATATTCATTGCCCTTTTCATACCCTGGAAAAGATCACAAAAGAAAGCAAACAAATGCTCTTTTTCAATGTTAGACATGGAATGGAAAAAATAAGAGAGAGAGAGAGATGAAACCAAGAATAGTTAGTGTAATAATTTTACTCTTGCTGTTGCTTCCTTCAATTCAACACTGTCCTCGCATGACAACTGCTGTAATGTTCTGTACGTTGTTTGTTCAACTTCTGAGATCATCCTTTTGAGGCTTTCAGGACCAAACAATTCAGCACCATGTTCTTAAGGTACTTGTACATAAACCCATGTAAGGAGCCTACATTTTGTCGTCCAAAGATCTCAGTGAATGTTTCTGGATACCAGCTTTGGAACACTTGCCCCTCTTGTTGGAAGATGAAGTAATTATGATCAGGGTCTGTTGATACCACAACTGGTCGTCCAACCAAGTTGGTCTTGAAGATTGGTCCATACCTGAAAGAATCAAAATGGATGATCATGAATAAGTTTACTTCCTTAAAAGAATGCTTTTAATTAAGTTGAGATTAAAATGTTTATATATATACCTTTTCATTCTCTGCTTGATGAAAGGAGGAAAACTAAAATGAATGACAGATAAGATTAAATTATTAATGTCCTTATGGTATATCCTGCATACATTCATTGTTTGATCAAATTAGGTAATGTTGTCACATACTTTGCGCTTTTCCGTTACTTTAATTAGAAGGTATGTGTGTGTGCTGGACTTGTATATACTTTGTACTATATTTTAAATTTAATTTTGAATCCTACCAAATAAATTCAGTTTTCTTTAGTAGTCCAATAATTGGTTCATAGTTGAATATCAAAGCTATCAAAAACGGGTTGTCTTTTTGTAATATGAATGATATTTGTGCAAATAAGCAATCACATATGGCATACCCTTAAAATTAATTTCCCTCAGTGCCTTCCGGAAGATTCCTGGAACTATATTTGCGAGTCTCACGGTTTCATTTATGACCTGCAAATCATCACGGACTTTTAAATGAGATATGTATACGTAGGAATTAACCCACAATGTTGTCTCTCTTTAGAAGAAAGAGAAATATATGAAGAAATTATTGATCCACCTGAAATGTAAATGTCATTGATTTGTATTCTTTCCACGTGACTCCGGAGTTAGGATCTTCACGTCGTTTGATGATGGCTTCATGTTCTTCCTAAAAGGCACAACACGGAGGGCCTTATTATTTAGTATAAATAGAGTCAAAACGAAAAGGCCATAAAAGTAGTTCAAAGACTTTAATATTAATTTTTGACATACTTGTAATTGCTTGAGCACTAAGGGATGGTCCGAGAGTAATTTAATAGCATAAGTAATAGCGAGAGAAGTGGTTTCAAAGCTTGCAAAGAGGAGCACAAACATGAGGTCCAGAGCGATCGCTTCAGTGAGGATTGTTCCCTCTTTCTTTAGTTCTTCAATAACATAGTCAAAGAAATCTGTTTGCTCTTTCTTATGCATTCCCTGTCTTTCTTGCAGCATGTTCTTCAGCATATTCATTGCCCTTTTCATACCCTGGAAAAGATCACAAAAGAAAGCAAACAAATGCTCTTTTTCAATGTTAGACATGGAATGGAAAAAATAAGAGAGAGAGAGAGATGAAACCAAGAATAGTTAGTGTA